TCTCAATGTATCAATCTGATTCACACACATCAACACTTCAAGATACATAAAATTGTCACTCTTTTATATATGAAATAGATCTTTACGCATGAACTCTCCAAATTTACTGGAGATACTCTTCCTTACTTCTATATATAAACTATTTGAGAACTTACCATACTAACAAATGGAAATTTTTATCTAACTTACTTTTATAAAGAGAAATCTTAGTAAGTTTGACTAATTACCCATATTTGGCAACATGCCATTAAACTTTTAAACTTTCTAGATGTATATTAATTCATAGATTGAGGTGGCGATATGACATTGGTGTCTTTACAACTTCTAGAATCTCCATTTGTCACTAAATCAACATTAGACTTAATCTAACCAATTAAGTTTTTATTATTTAGTCAAACCAATCAAAATTAAACATAAAATCAAAAATATTTTTTCTTGAAATTTAAACTTTTGTACAAGACAAAATAGAATTGCTCACTCAAATCTTTTAAAACTTTTTTAGTTATTCTGTCAAATGTAGAGATTATAGCTAAACATAGAAGTAACTTGATAAATTTAGTTTTAACTAGCTAGACTTAATCATAACGAAACTAACCATGATTAACTCTTTGGTTATTTCTAGATATATTTCACACATACATTATCCAGTTTTACAATCCAATCGAACAGAAGTTAATAATGTACAATGATGTGACGGTGTTTGAATCGGTCCAATGTAATTTTCATTTTGATGCATTGTTGGTAAACGTCTTTGCAAGACTTCTTGATGATGATGATGATCTTACGTCCTCGGCCTCACACCCAGTCACACAAGCAGACATTACATCTATGGACAACAATGACACAAAAGTCACACCATCAAGATCACCACTAATTTTTTTGGATAGTCATGTCTCGCCGACTCTACCCTGACGCAATCCTCAACGCGCTATCAGGAGAATGCCCTCGCATTTTGACCTCTTTGACATGGGAGATTCAAACTCATCAAATGACGTACACATCATGGAGATCATTGACTCCATCAATGATAAGATTTTCAAACGGAAGGTTCATAATGATCATCAATGACAAGCAGCTCAACGTAATAAATTTGACGTCTTCATTCAAAATCTCATTTCAAAATTAGTGAACCGACGTCTTGGCCAACATTTCTTACATTCTAAGTGAACCTACAAGGAAAAATCAGAGATTCTAAGTGAACCTACAAGACAAAATCAAAGATTAATCGAATTAGAGTACGCCTCAAAGGCTCGTCTTCTGCACTTGAACTTGAGCAAAAGTTTAGATTTGATTATAATGAGACGTTCACACTCGTAGTTTACTGGTCTACACTTCGGGCAATGATCGCTCTATTTGTCACGTTAGGATGGAAGGTAAATCACATGGATGTGATTATTGCTCTTCTCAACGTCAAGCTCAAACAACGCAAATTCATGAAACAACCGCATGGGCTTGCTATACCAGGCAATGAGTACAAAGTCTATCAATTAAATCGGTCTCTTTACAACTTGAAACAGTATACTGAATAGTGGTATGAGGAAATTGACAATCATTTGAATAAATCTGGATGGATTCGTAGTGAACTCAATCCCAATCTGAACTTTCTAAGAGAGCATGACACCATCATAGTTATGATGATCTACATTGACGATTTGCTGATCTTTGGAAGTAGCAAAGATGAGAGTTGCTGAAATCAAATTGCAACTCCATCAAAAGTATAAGATGAAGGATTTAGGGCTTGTGAATCATTACGTCGGCATTGACTTTGTGCGCACAACTAATGGCAAGGTCTTCTTGCACCAGCACAACTACACCATGGAGCTTCTTAAGTAGTGCAACATTGAGCCACGGGTGGTCAAAACCGTCCCGTTACCAATAGGTCTTGAACTTAGTAGGGCTTATACTAGAGGCAGATATCCACATGACATCAATTGATGTTTCAGACTATTGCTAATTGATCTTCTTATGTCACACTCGTCTTGACATTTCCTATGATATAGGCATCATGAGTCGTTACATAAGATGCTCATTGGAGTGCCCTCCAACACATACTTTGTTATTTAAATTACACCCCAAATCTAGGCATTGTATTTTATCACTCTAGCGAGAGCACTCTCCACAACTTTACCAACTTTGGTTATCTGAGTTGCAAAAATACTAGACACTCATATGGTTAGTACATATAGGCGGAACTGTTTCCTGATCTAGCAAGCAACAACCAAATGTGAGTGACAGGATCATGGAGCTGAGTACAAGGCGCTTTCATAGGTAACTAAGGAGGGATTTACATCTGCAGATTAGTCAACAAGTTAAAAGTTCTCAATTTACCCAAGCTTCTCATCTACTGCAAGGACAAACAGGTGCATTGCGACCTCGCTTCTGCGTCTACACCAACTTTGGCCGACCTGCACTTGTTCCTCTGATAATCAGGGTGCTCGAATTAGCCAAGAATCCACAATTTTATGCTAAGACGAACCATGTAGAGCGCAATCATCACTTTGTTTGTGAAAGTGAGATAGAGGGGTAATTTCAATTCAAGTAGAATTGGAAAGTAAGTGGTAGAATATGTGATTTTAAAGTTAAAGTATACACATTCTAACAGCTGATTCAGCGGGCCGTTAACTGATGAGTATTATAGACTTTGGGCAAAGCGGAAAGACTCTGAATTTTTAGACAGTGAACAATACATTAAAGGCTTCAGAATCAAATGAATACAGTGATCGGACATAGACGTATCTGAAACTCATCAACCTCATCAACTTCGATTCCCAGGGGCCGAGATTTTCTACTCAACTTCTCGCTTGGTTACTTGTCACACTTACCGTGAACTGTGTCCATAAAGTACACAAGGACATGGTAACGGGCTGGAAAAATTTCAAGCCTGAGGTATGCGAAATAAAATTTGAAAGGCGGCTTGTAAAGAAATTAAAAATTGGATGAACCTATGAACAGATTCTAAAGGACATGATTTCAAGATCTTCTCTGTGTAGAAGCAAAACGGTAAGCTTCCGAAGGGGATTTAGACCATCACTGTATGTTTTATTACAAATTCTTCTCTTAACCACATAACATCTACTACATGCTTGTATCTCTTGATTTCATGCTGCCGAAACAACGATCAGAATCTTGCTATGCTAATAAACCAAAGGTTGTGGTAGGAACATTGGTCCTTTCCTAGACAACTTAGTCTTTCTTTCGTTTAAAATTGGCTGACTTATTCTCTAGGTAGGTACACGGTGATTAGATACGATAATTACTTTATGAAGGAGATGAAGATTTACCAAAGCCGATAGATGACAAAGGTGGTCTTTCCATGGAGAATCCCCAAGGTTACATACTCCAAGTATGACTCCTCCGCCCTCTGCCTGACCTGTTATACTTACCCCTTCCCGAATTGCCGTAGACACGAAGTACGACTTAGCCAAGGTGGCGCAATAAAATCTCCTCCCTCTATACTCATAGGAGAAGGTGAGAGGATGTCTTACCGACCTACTTTGCTGGAAGAGTAAGAATAGAGATTTTCACTTTCTCCACTTCACCACTCTTCACAAGGGGCCTGGTGGTTGATTATAACAACTTGAATAGTTGTTATTTTTTTGATGGTCACTATGTCTTGAGTTGCTCAATTTAGGAAAAGTAATATATGAATAATTTTATTTGTGGAATACAAATTAGTTCACCACATTGTCATGTTAGTTCACATTGTTTACCAGCCTAGCTTGACCACCTGAAAAGCAGTACCTGGAAACCTCGAATCTTACAAATAATTGAGGAAGGCCCGACCAAATCTAATTTTGAATTAGAAGGAGCTCCACAAGTAAGAGTAGAAAATGAAATCACCAATAGTAGACGACATAAAATCTTTGACAGTATATATAACTGTACTTCGCAGGAACCTTGATCCAGGGCAATCGCATATCATCCCAATTTATAAGCGGGACGAGCTGTAATCGTTAACATATAGTCGTGACAAGATATAAAAACACGAAATAGATCACTGGTGGCAAAGAGAAGTATGTTATCTGTTAATCATACGACGCAATCAGTACTAAGCTTCAGCTATCAAATGCACGTACCATTACTTCAGAACTCCAATCTATATCCAACGGTGAAAGGTAAAAGTCAACCAGCAAATGCTGTCTCAGAGATATGTCCAGTTAAAGACAACACTGAAAGTTTCAGGTCTTCTTGGGCATTTCAGGACCTTCCTGCAGTATATTAAGACATGTAGACGTATCACATCGTCTCCATACAAAGTGAACCAGATATCGTCCTCGCTGCTCCGGTGCAGCGGTCTCTCTGTGTATCATCCGTTGATAGCGCAGTTTCCTATTTTGTGCAAAGGAGTAGGCTAGCGATAAGCTACTGTAAATTGATACAACTTCTCAACTTTTTGAATAGTGGTCCTGTAGTTGCTGGAGTGTCTCTTCAAACAAACACAAGAAGAGAACTTCTGGTTTCATGGAATGTATGGACTAAGTACATTTTTCTATATATTGTCCATTGTGAGCGCATTTTTCTTAGTGCTAAGACTTGGACAAACGTTAGAACGACATTCCATGTTAGTACAAAAATTCAAGTCACAACACTGGTCTTGTGGTTGCTGAAGAATTCATCAACCAATCAAAGCGGCTTAAGAAGATGGATTTCATGAAATGTACTCAGTTTGTAATCAACTAATTATCTGTATCTGCCGCGACAGGCCATTCGACTTTATGGAGCAAATTCTTCATGATGAGAGCAAACATGTCAACACTCAGTTCTGAATAAAACCAGTAAGGATTAGTATATCAGTAGAAGTGTAGCCTTACAAGGGTTAATGTTTGGGCACTATACCGACCTATATTTTAGGAACTCGATAAATTCTATCTTTGAGCTGGTTTTCATTTCTCCGTGTCATTGCCAACCAAGGTGGGATTAACTTACGTCCTACTTATAAGTAACAAATTGTACTTCATGCTTTAAATGATAATGGGAACAGACAGAATAAGATGCCCATGTGCACAAAGCCTTTTTACAAAGAACACTCATCGAAGAAACACAATTCTTTATTCTCAACTCCACCTTGATCTGGTACTCATTCCCAAATCGAGTAACAGATCAAGGTGGAGTTGGGATTAAAGAGTTGTAACTTGAACTTCAAGAGTTTCAGAGTTGAAAATGCATGCGCAAACCTTAGCAGTAAAAGTCATGGGTCTCTATGACGGTATTATTCATGCAAGAGGAGTAACACCAACTGAAGCTATATAGCTGCAATCAATAAACTTTGCAACCTCTATTATCTCTGGAATAAGGTTGATAACACTTCATAACACTTTACCTGTTAAAGTTTATTGTGGATCATGCGCAAATCTTACATTTTCCATTCCTATGTGCCTAAAAACAGACATGCACCAGTATCTACTAGGAGGAGCGACGTGAGAGAGAAGGTGATATGAATGATGATAGATTAGGAAGGGAAGCCGACGTTGGTGACAGATACAGAGAGAACAACAGACCATCTGAAAACTATTACGATCGGAATGACATATCTAGGAAGTTTGAAATTGAACGGAAGTCTACTGAGAGAGTATGACAGGGACTACAGGTCTTCAATGGATCATGAGAATGGGAATTATAAAGAGAGGGAGGCTTTTGGTCTTGAAGAAAGGCATTCGAGGTCCTCCAGTGAGCATGACAGGTCAGGGAAGTCGCACAATGCCAGTGACAATCGATCCAGGACGTATGAGAGGGACATAGGCCACGAAAAGATTACAACGTGGATGATAGAGAAGAAGAGAAGAATAAATTGAGCTGTTAGTAAATTTGTGTCGAAGAAATAGTCAAAACAATGGCACCCGATTTCTTCAGCTGGCCCCAAACATGGAAATACAACAAACAAAAATACTGAAACCCAAAAGCTTACCTTGGAGAAGGAGACCTTGGAGTAGATGCTAAACGAGCAGCAATCAAGCTCTGTGGTAAGTTGGTATCACTACTATCAATCTGTTCCCACTCAAACGTTGAATCTTAAAGCTTTACAACCTACGGTGGAAATAATCAAACACCTCCATGTGTGTAACAATGCCACTAGATGACCAGATGAAAAAATCCAGCAAATACGTAATATCTCGATGTCAAGAAATATGTTGCAAGATGAGCTATCTGTTCTGCAGAGAGAATGTAGAGGTGTTGAGAGATATTTGTTGCGATCCAGTGAGTCCTTGATCCAAGAATACGAGACGCATCTCTCTCATCTACCTTCTCAAAGTAGTTCTCTCAGTTTTAAATTTTACCGAGTTTTAATTTTGTTACTGAAACGAGAATGTTTACGTTATTCATTACGTTCCTACTTTACAGTAAACTTGATGAATATGAATATACTCCCAGGACATGTTACATGTAGTAGTGTAGCAAGGAAACTACAGAAGAGGGTTATAAAATAGGGGGAGGAAACGTAAATGTCATCAGAAGATGAAATGCAAATGAGTAGATAAAGACATTGAAATAGGAGAAAATTTAGTTACCTAACGTATGTGTGAGATCGTTTCTCATATAGGAGCACTGCTTGTCTAATGATACATTATACTCACTACTCTGAGAAGACGAAGATGGTGTTATGCAGGCAGTGTTAGACTGTGAAAATATTAATAAAAGCAGCAAATCATAAAAGAAAAAATGCAAGTCTAAGAGGAATCTCCTACCAAAAACCTCTTGAAAACACTCCGTATGAAAATGAGCGAGTTGTTGATATCAACCAATAAGAGGTCTATGTATTCTGATCCAGAAGTACAGTCGATGACAGAATACAACATATGAACAAGACTCAAGACATAAACATCGGTATGAATAAAAAAGAGACCTCATGATAAAACTGGTTCAAACATTATCTTGATTTAAAGACTTGCAGCTAAAAAATTGAAGCAATACACGTACATTACCTAATCTAATTGAAACTGGGCTGCGTGATTTGCGCTGAGAGATGTTAGGACGAAAACTAGTTGAAATTCTAGAAATTTGAGACCATCCTCGTGCAGTATACTTGTCTCATCTATCTACATCGCCAACATTCAAAACATCCTAGACGAATTTTTAACTGTCATCGCAAAAGAGAAGTGCAAGAGAGTGATTGCTCCAGTTGGGACTCACAAACCATGAGACTTGTATATCTTGCAAGCTAATTATTACTCATAAGCACTCATTCTTATACACAGAATACAGTTGCATCAAAATTTACCTTTCAGCGGATTTCCTGCAATGTATTGCATTAGGCTTCGAGGTGTAGCCTCCGACACGCAATATTGAGCAACCCCTTAAGGTCTTGCCTCCGAACTCTCACCTGCAGTGATTGTGGTATACATTACAGTGAAACCTCCCATCAGTTCAATTTTGAATTTCGCAGGCTAGAGCACTTGATACATGGATGAGTTGGAGCTAACCTTAGTAGACGCAAAAATTACAGCGTGAGGAAGGAGACGATTACTCGTAATGGATGACATCCATGGATGGGAAATACTCCCACAGCCTGTCCTTTCGAGGTTTGATCCAATGGGTTGAAATATCACTGGTAGTCGGATCAAGTTGGGTCAGATCAAGACATACTTAAAATAGAAAGCTATTATGAGCACATGCGCAGCCCAGGTATTTGTCATGAGGTAGACCCAGAACCAACCTTTTATGATGGGAAATCTGAATCTGAAAGTAGTACACGACGGGGGGCCAAGTGGGAAGAAGAAACACGAATCATCCCATCGAGTCCGAACAACGAAGCGAACGATCTTCAATTCAAGGGCTCAGCCCCGATAGTAGTAATAGATTCCACATCTCCGTTTGTTAAACTTCAGAACATTGATTTGTTTAGTTCAGCCGCAATGCGATATTTACTTTCAACTTCCCAGTTAATTGATTTTTTAACGTGTATAAGTTCTCAGGTCATTCAGAATTAGAAACTGCAGTGAACTTTATTTTTTCTATCTTCACACGTAACGTGGGCTTTGATTTCTCCATGTCCAAAATTCCAGCCAGTATACCGAAAAACCAGTATTACTGAACGCTTCTTGAAGCGAAATAGGATCATTTTCGTCACATGATCTGTGGGAGATTCCTATTTTCAAATTTTATGCTTATTCCACAGTCATAGTACCACTGTCTATTTTTTTTCTTAGCTGACCAGATAATTTCCCCTCTAGAGTTGATAATACACTCGCGGACACCGACTTCAATATCGCAGCTTTCTGAAGTAAATTCGCCGCTCTACAGTTCGGTTCGAGTAACGGCTGGATTTAACTCTCGAGAAACTAATGTCCAACATCTCTCAAAATAATCTACCAGAGATGATGGACGTAGAGCAATCATAGTCAATTACAATATAGTTTGTAGTGAAGGTACGCCAGATTTCTCAAAGCAGCTAGCTTTACATGACCCACCAAGGTTTAGAAACATGACACTGGTATAGATATCTTCCAAATACTTTGTCACGACGTTGATCCACAGACATAAGAGAATTATAAGAGTGGGAGTGTCAAAACGGTGTGTTTCGAGGTGAGCAGAGGATGTATACGCTGGCAGACAAGAGCGTAGAACAGAATGTCGTACTACTCTTTCAGAGTTGAAGTCCGCTAATAATTGTTACAGGCATAAGGAGAGAAACTAATATAAATTCAGTCCAAATTTCTTCGGATGCTATGTATACAGCGGTAATTACTTCCATTCACAGTCTCCTACTTAGCTCTCGACTTTTTTACATCAACCCACATAATCTCATCTTAGCTCTAATGCCAAGAAGTCGATGAAATTCTCCTATCGAGGATCTGAGTCTGGATGTAGGATGCCAAAGTAGATAACATCTTCTTTTCTACCATATTGAAACGATGGTTCGAGAAAGTACACTTCAGCGTCCCAAGCAGATGAGGTGTTCAGTCTTGTAAAAGCTTTTCCACCCTCCCTGATATTCGTTTCAGACCGCACCAATTAATCTATCGTAGTTGGGAACTACGATAGAGAAAGGAGACATTTTTTCCGTGAATCAAACACATACTATTACAACCTTAACCTAGGGGGGAATGGAGCGAGCCCATGTTGCTACGGTTTGACGAGTCATTTTAACAAAAAAAGCCTACCTTTTAGCCCGGCTGCTTGTTAGGAATGGGAAATAGCTTCGTTCGCTCACTTCTCTTTTACTTCTACCGAACGATCTATACATCTATTTATAAATCACCGTGTAAAAAGAATGAAACGAAATGTCATGACCAATACTTCATATATGGTGATGTGGTCCAGAATACTTCCAGATTTCATATTTGTGCACTTCCAATCGCCCATCACAGCTCATAGAGATCTTACGGTGATTCAGCTGCAAGTTAGCACGCTGTTCTTGATGGACGTGACAGCGTTAAAGACCAGAACAGAAAAGACCTCTCAGTATATCAATTATTGCACTGCTGTTCGTACATGCGTCCTCCCCATTCAACATTCTCTCCTACAAAAAATTGGTGGATTCTACGGTGGTATTTGGACCGCGCTTTCATCAAGCATCACTTTGGATAAAACATCACTTCATTGAATTTCGTCCCCACACAATTGATTCAACTAAGAAGCTCTCAACTTAATAAAGTTTGTTCCTGGTGCTCCAGCAAGCCCTACAGCTGTAGACATACACTCACGTTCAGACATGGTCCGTGTTGAGATTGAATTGACCAATACTGTAAGTGTGACCCAACAAAACACGTATCAAACCTATTGTCGTACGGGAAGTAGGCATGATTCAGGTATACCCCGATGACCCGTCCGCTGCACACACAAAGGATACAAGATCGATGTAAACTCGTCAAGAGCCTGCATTCAGTCCAGACCAGGAAGAATAATCTCAAGCTCCCAACCGATCAGGCAAAAAACTCTTCTGACGCCTTGCTCAACTTAAAGATCGAAAATACTAGACTCACAGTGGAACATATCCTTGAAGTCTCTACTAGAATCAAAAGAAGTCTTTATACTAAACACCGGCTTCGGATCGTCAAAGCATTAGTCATAGAGATAGCAAGCCAAAACTACAGAAATGAAACATGAAAAGATGTACACCAGCGTGTTGGAACACGCTGGAAACAGTACGCTAAACGCAAAAAGTAAACGCAAGCTACACCCTGGATCACTGGATCCACTGCTAAGCTCGACAAGAAGACTCCTTGACTTTGTACCCAAACTCCATAAGTAGAGCGCGAAAGAGACAAGTTCAACAAGTATTCCCAAGTGTTGGAGCAAGTCCGAGGACTGTAACACGCGATGCATGTTACATTCACTTTGTGACACACAGGTAATGGACTGGAAAAAAGACTGGTGGGAATGGCACCAGCCGGCATCTGCAAGCAATCAAGCAAGCAAATAGGCAGGCCCGTCATCCCATTCGAGAGTACCTCACCGGGGCTCCTCCAGAGGGCGAGTACGAAGTGGTGCAATCCGATGGAGCGAGAGAAGGGCAACTTAGCCGAAGGCGAAGATCGACACAGCGGGTGTGAAGAAGAGGACCACGTACCTGCTCGTAGTGCGGAATAGATCAGATAGAGTTCTTGTGAGGTGGGTCAGAGGGTCCGAGGGCCGAGGCCGAGGGAACGCGTTGTACTCGGGGATTTGCTCGTGGGCGGGATGGAGGAGGCTCGAGAGAGGCGCGGCCGAGGCGCGCTCGCCGCGCGACTCGAGTCCCGACTGGGCGCCGCCGGGAAAGACATCCCGAGGGGAGGATAGGGTGGAGTTTATTAACGGAATTCGGTCAGAGATCCCAAAAGCTTTATGTGAATCAGTGGCCGAAGACCGGTAACCGGCGGCTGAGAGGTCATCTCGTGGTGCTCCCGTTCCGACACGAGGAGTCATATGACGGCTTGGGCGCGACACACGACAAAGATTGTCCTCCAGCCTGGCGACACCAGAATTCCGACAGAGTCCACAAGGGCAACATACTGCTCTGTGATTGGCTCGGAGTCGTGCAGCAATCTTGCTCCCTCACGCCCCTACCGCGTGCCTAGCACGACGTACACGCGATCTCCACACGGTAAAGTGTGTGATTCCCGTGACTTACACACCACACGATTCGACCTGGAGCTGATCTGTCGAACATCGAAGACGTACACGTCATCGTGATTTACTCTCATTCCTTATTACTCCATGGGTAAAATCACGCCCTGGATGTTTTATGTTCTTCCCATCGTTCAAACTAAAGGTTGATCCCACCAATGCGTGACTGCCACGTATCAAAAGGTTAATGTTGTGGACTTTTCACCGATCCGAACGGAGACCGAGCCCTTGACGCTCCCCACCAAGCTTTCCAAGCCCAACTTCAAATCTGAAAGTCTTGAAGGGCCACAATATCCTCAACTCGTCACCCATGTGACATTTGATAACCCGGTGTAAATTCGTGGCCATGCTGTACATGGACAAGACAGTTATTGAGATCTCGGTAACTGACCTCCATTGGTTCGCCTTATGAGCATCACATTCTCAACCTTGGACTCGCTTCAAGTACCCAACCTTTCTGTACGACTGGGCCATCTACCGCCTTTGAGGTTGTATAGTGAAAATCTTACATATAATGTATAAGGAACTCATCTCATTTGAATAGATAAAAAAAGAATATATAGTATGAGCTTTTCCTACATGATAGACTAAATTACACATATTGGCAAACTTCCACGGGCTTATGTCATAGAACTCCTTACTTGTAAAAAGCTTCGAATATATAAAATTTTATGTTAACCAGTTCCAGTTTTCTTGTGAGGTGTCAAACTGGATGAAGCTGGAGATATTGAAATGCATTTTCTGCACATCCTCTAAATATAAGGGTCAGAAAAATGTTACTGCACAGAAATATGGATATCCTTCATGATTTGAACCTAGCGCATAAACTTGGCCGATTAGGTTCGATTCAGGGTTATAATGGCCTGAAGTCATAACGATAGTTCCCAATACTCTAATGAATCAAATGCACCATGATGATAAGACCACCAATATAATATATTTCACAGTAGATCGATAAATAAATTCAATCATATTTGTTGACACAGTAAAACATTTTACAGTGAGACAACACGAACCCGAATATATTACAATAATACGCAGATGAAACACGGGTTTGTTCAACACACGTTTTAGGTGTATCAAATTACACAAAGCCTTGACTAAAAAAAAAAAAAACCAAACACATATGAGAGAATTTTAATGTGATGGGACTGACATTTGTTATATGATATCAACTTGTCATTAACAAGAAATTCAAACTGCTCTTCAACACCACAACACTGAAAATTATTCAAAGAAACATGTGTAAGCTTGATTGAAGAATTACGCTCCTCCCTTCTATATTCAGGTCAGAAAGTTATTTCCACTGAATTAGCAACCTATGAGATAGTAATGGTACTATGAACAACACATTTGTTTGAAATGAAGATATTCTTAAGCCACAAGATATTCTCATCAATGATTTATCAACTTGTATATGATGGATAGTTTGTATGAAACTTTTCTTGAGATTTCATCCGTTTTAGAGAGTAAGTTTAAGATCTGCTTAAGTAAGATACAAAACTATTTTTTCATAAAAATTACAATGAAAAAAAAAAACAGATAGCATTATCAAATTCATTGCACCGCATTTCATCACGTGTTCTGACTTACTTGTCACAACTAAGACAAATATCACGGTTCTTTCTTCTTCTTGTCAATCAATTTTCAAACTTTGATAGGATAATCACATGTGTAATTTTGTTTTGATATGGACAGTATGAATCACATCAATGCATTTTAGCTATTTAAAGATGAACTTGGATATTGACTATTTCTATTGATACTCTATAATCAATCCATACAATGATATTTTTTCATTGATACCTTAAAAAAAACAGGAAAGTTCACATGGATATCAATAATAGATTGGAAGCCAAACTTTCTTCTATTTGAATACCGTACATCAAAATTAATTGTATTCATAATATGTTGTTATCACCAGTGATATAACACATGCTTCGAAAACATATCTTTCCGAAAGATTATCTCAGAATCTATAAATGCTTGACGTTTCTTATCAATTTAATATATAAGAAAGGCAGGGATAATATTAAAAATTTTCACTGGTTTTTTTTAAATTAAAAAATCTTGATCATCTGGGTGACAAAAAATATTATTTTTCCAAAACATGATTCATATTGGACTGCAATATTTTACGCCATAACGTTTTGCATCACATCTTGATTTCATCATAACATTGCAGGTAATTTAGCCCTTATATAGAACCCATCTCAACAAAGATGAGGTTTCATATACGTAAGAAAGTTAAATTGGGCTGACATGATTGTACAGAACTGATTTGATAACAACATATTATACTAGATATACCTAAATTTGCGAGGACCATGCATATGCTTCATGATAGAAACTTTGACAACTTTTTATCTACCGTGTATGTATGTTAATCAATATTTGCATTCTTATTACACATGTGTTTTTTACAATGTGATGAAGAAACATGGCACATGCTCAAAAGATTTTGAATTCATCAAACTTTTATATTTCTTACTAACATTCCCACAGACAGGTATTTATGACAGAGACTCCTCTACTGTATTTGCTATGCATTTAATGGGAACTTAAAATAAAAGGATTTGTAAACAGGAGTGCATGGATGTTGAGGGACATTTGAAATAGAGAACAAGTTTTCAAAACTCTTTGTTTTCGTGTATAGACCATACCAAACACAGTAGCGTCGCATGTCTGTGTAATTACAACGTTGCCCTGATGATGTGTTGCATGTTCGAAGCAAGTATAAAATATAAAATTTTTTCAATTCTGCAAGCAAGAAAATAGACAAAAATACATGAGGGACAGTGATATACTCAGTGGTTTTCTCGTAATGCGTACTTGATGTGAATATTTACTGCTTGTTCTGAACTTGTTAATTGTTATGGATGTTTTTGACTCTTTGCAATTTTAATTTTTTCGCAACGAAGAATGATTAGACACAAGTTTTTTTAAGGTTATCTTTGAGCCGTGTGATTATCTGCACTTCTTCTTGTAGTCTCTATTTATGTCACCTGTTTCTTATTGTAAACGGTGTCACAGTGTTGTGTACCGAAATATATCCGTCGCACGAAACTCAGCTGCTCCCTGCAGTGAACGATGAGTTAGAACTTGGGTTACGCCACCCACGACCGACCGAGTCCGACGGACTCCGACCCAGCAAAACTGGGACTACATAGGTAAATTGGGCCTACAGTAGATCCTGTACGAGGGTTATACTTCTCATGTTAGAACATAGTCGAAGAACATGCTCGTCTTTGTTCGTTGCTGTATCTTTCTGTTCCAGGATCAATGCCCACAGTGCAACGCAGCTTTATGGCCGACCCGACCGGAGAAGTTTCCATCATCATTACGCACATCCATCCTCTCCTCTTTCCGTCACGTGACTCCATCCGTTCTCCGTTGACTGCTGTCTCGAAGACGGCTGTTTCTGGTTTCATGTGAATGTCATAGATAAAATGGGTCCACTCCCTCCTCACTAGAGGACAATGCAGGGCGCTCGTTCCTTCGATTATTTGATACAGAGATGTTCCGAACCACTACAGAACCATTAAAAAGATAAATATAATCATCGGCAAGCCCTCGCAACTTCAGCGCGAACGGGAGATGCGCATGATCGACAATCTGCAACGCCGACGGCTACGCGTGAAGTGCTGGGACAGGCAACGATTTTGGTAATATGGAAACCCCGAGGGTACGCGAGATCCATAGAACAGTGAAGACCGATCTCTATGTGGATTGCGGTTCCGAACTAACCAGGCCACAGAAGGGACCGGCCGAGGTAAACAAGGCCAGGTTGACGCGGCGGCCGTCGAGCTCGAGCTGGCCATCGAAGAAGTGTGACACCGTGCGTCAGGGACCGGCGCCCCGTGGTAGCTGTGGCCTACTATCTGCCATCCGACACGACACGACGGGAAGGGTGAAAGTCCGTTTGACGTCCTGACGCTACGACGGTCTCCTGCAAAAAGGGCGACAATGGAGGAGAATAAGAAGGAAGGCTGCCCGAAGCCATGAGCACCACAGCGCAGCAGCAGCAGCACCCGCAGCAGAGAACAATTTGAGGCAAGGAAGAGGAAGAACATTTCATTCGCTACTCTACACCTCACCACTCACTCACTCAGTGTACCCTTAAGCAGCAGCACCAATCCAATCATCAAGTGTTCGCAGTGCGTGAGGGAGAACAGTGCATACTCTCTCGGCTGCCAGCAGCGCGTCGTCGACTTCTGGGAGACAATCTATCTCTCGGCTGTGAGAGGAAAGAGAGTCTACCGGGCGAGAAGAGTGCGTGACACTGTGCCTTGCTGCCTGAGATCCATCACTCTAGACTGCGAGATTCTTTTGACTGGTCATCTAAATCCGGGAACTGGACCATCGGAGAAGAAAAGCTTCAACGCGAGAAACATTCTCCCGCATGTTTGGGTGAAGATTCGAGCTGGAACCGATACCACTGTCTTCCAAGTGCACGTAGCGACCGACGACTCGATTTAGAAGCGCGCATCTAGCGAGCCCCTCCCACTTGTCTTCCTGCCTACTTCCATTTTCTCGGACTCGCGCTCCTCAAAAGGCTGTTGGATTTCCGAGCTTGTGTCCAAGCCTGGTCCCGGCCGGTGCTTGCGTCTCTCGTGTGCACTGCTCTCCTGCTTTCATATCTGCCGTTTCTCGACCCATACTTGCAGACGTTGCGCTATCTTTCTGTCTCCGAGTTTAGAGAGAGAAAGAGAGAGAAATAAAGAGAGCGAGAGTCACCGTTTCAGTCTCCAAAGCCAAGATGTCGTGCGGCAATGGATGCGGATGCTGCCCGAAGTGCGGTTGCCACAGGCAGTGCACGTGAGTTTCCCCTGAGTGCCACGGCATTTCCTCTCTTCACCTCTGGATTTTATTCGGTTTGATTACATTTATTCATCTAGAGGATGGAATCCATGTGAACGTGAATTGAGTGAACTCTCTACTGCGCGGCATTAGCTCGTCTTCGTTGGTTGGTCCTCGAGGTCTCTTCTAACGATGAGCGCTGTCAATGGAACTGCAGATGCAACAGAAAGTACGCCACGGTCTCTGGACCCTCTGCGTCCTCCATCTACAGCAAGGAATGCAGGTAGAGTATCACCTCCCTACGCACTGTCTGTCTTCACGCTCAATTCCTCGCATTGTTTCTGAACGAGATCTCCCTGAACCTCTTTCAGGGTTTTGGTCCGGCCGGGTATACTTACAGCATAAACCCTGTCTAAGTCTTGACTTCTGAGTCCTTCCTCCTCTCAGGTCCAGCGGAATCTAAATGGTTTTCCTTTTGCGTTTACGCACTGGCGTAATTGCTGCTGTCTCTCATGGCCTAAATTCGCAAAGCATGTCTTTTCTTGTCTTGCAGCCTTTTGGTTCGGTTCTTCGAGCAGCTGGACCGTTTCTTCTCGTGAGAACTTCATGGACCCAGTCGACCTAAATGAACAACCAGGTACATTCCTTCCTGACCAACTCGTGTACCAAAAATCTCACACCTATGCTTTCAAAATTTCACTCAGTTCTACTATCTCTTCTGTACAAGTACATGGTTGTAATGTATACTGACTTGGCACTTTGAAACAATTGCAGCTTGCTACCTTCAACAAAAACGAGATGTGTAAAATTTGGTGGCGGTTGTTGCGACGGGGCTGGTATGGTTGGACAGCACAAGCGTAAGCCGGGAAACGTCTTCCCGGTGTCCAAATAAGCAGCGTCAAGCTTAGAACCATCTGCTTCTGTCCGGAATATAGTACATACATAGGACATTAGTTTGTAGAAACGGAAAGCCTGCACACGTTTAGAGGCATGTGTTTTCCACGGAGTCGGACGGGAGAGGCGGCAGAGTAGTACTTAAGGTTGATCGAATGACCTATAGGTTAATTTTGGGTTTTTTGTAAATCTGTGGGTGTGAGAATTCGCGGAAGCTAATACGAAACTCCTTAGACCGCAAGCTCAAGAACTAGGAATAAAATGTCGAGAACTTAAAACTTTGTCTCGGGCGGATTACCAGCCCGCTGGAAATCTCCCTATTATCTAAATACAACTTCTGCTTCTGTGAACCTTTATATTGTGAAGAGGGTGTGAACTTCATATGAGTTATTTGTAGCTTGTTGACAATCTGGGAATGCTTTGAGATTGTTGGAAGTCTGCAATATTCGTGCAAATGCATTCGAGTCAATTATTTGACTAGTAGAACCTGCCGAGATAGTAATTGGAGATATTGGTCGATGCACCGTATATGAAGAATGCATTGTTCTCTTATCTCTTATTTGAGTTCTCAGTCGCATGAGTTTTCTTTCAATCATGAATGTATGCGTGAGAGAGATTGGTTACATTCTGAAATGTAATCTCCTTGGTTTCACGAAAAATGTGAATAGGAGTATAAAATCGATGATACATGGAGAAGAAAAGAAGAGAAAAGAGCCAAAGAATTTAACATCAAACTTATCGTTGTGCCTTATCCAAATATAATAAAATATAACTGCCATAAAATTTGTCAATGGAAACAAATAAACGTGAACCTTCCTCAAACGTTTACTTTTAATCATTCAAAGAATATAGCCTAGTCAGTGCAATAATTGAATTGTGTGTAGTTTACTCATCCACATCAGTTTCATCAGAAAAACATCCGTACAAAGAACAAAGATTGTACGAAGTTCTTCCGTACAAAGATTGGAGAGCTCTCTCACAGGAACGATGAATGGATTTTGCTTAATTGTCTGATCCAACTATGTGAAGTAAGTGGATCATCATCATAGCTCTCAAGTTCAAGAACTCTCAAGTTTCACTGAGACTTCACCTCCAAACTACTGCCAACATTTCCATGTTTTCCAATTAATCTGCTGCTCTACTCGTTGAGCTTGTGAGTACTGCGTCCCACAGTTAATATTCTCTACGCAGCACTAAGACGTGATTTCCAGTGTAATATATGTCATATCATCGCATGGAGTTCTTCCCAGAAGCTCTTCCCACTGATCTGAAAGCACCAGTTCCTGAGACACATCCACCAAATTGACAAAGCACCGGTCAAATGCAGAAGGTTTTCTTAGCACCACTACATTTAGCTTGGCCTCGGAGAGATCTAAACTCCAGTTCACAGGTGCAGGTTTAATATTCTTAGTTCAGTTTACTAGTCCTGGAAAACACTTAAAATCGAATATTTTAATCTTTTGGCAGCTTTTATAATGACATACTGATAAAGTCTGAACAGTGGTTCGGATACGATTTCGCGATTTAGGGCATGTGTCTAGTACATGATCATGTCACTTCGACTTGAGTAGAATCTTGAGAGCAGACTACGACCGGCTCTACCGGGAACATGAAGAGCAAGCGAGTGGAACCGCAGATCAATCCATGCAGGCGTATGCTCTAGTGTCTCGGCCACTGAAACATGGGACCGAGAGACTCTCATCGTCAACAATAAAGTAGTAGGTGCACCAACCGAACTACAGGACTCTGAGTTCAGGTCGTCCGTCGATTCAATAACCGACTTAGTTTACAGCACAAACTGTGGCTTATCCTGCGGTGGACCATGTAGTAACACTACGATCAGATGTAGTTTCGATTCCGCGACCTGGACTGGACTGTACTGTCCTGTAAATCCCCACGAAATCGACACTGGCGACACAAGGTCAGCCTTGACTAAACTTAGACCACGGAGATGAAAGCCACGTAATAAGAAACCTGGCATCGCCATGTGCAGGAAGATCTAACGAAGCTGCTATATCCGTGGATACAGCAGCCACAAACTCATCTCAAGAGTGTGGACTGCTGAGGGATGTTGGCGCTACAATTGCAACATACAGAGCAATACGTGAGGACATCTTCGCGTCGGTTGGTCGAGGTGGGTCCTTCATGCATACACTGTGGGCCCATGACAGGCTGATTCAGATAAAAAATGAGAAAACAAGATAATTGAGATGAGTAGACTATAATTCGCCTCCGACGATCGATGACCTCATATGAGATACCAGTTAGGCTCGGTCTAATCTAACTGCAAAGGAGCATCTTTACCAGGTCGGCCCGTAGACCAGACCGATCTGAGAGCACTCACCCGTACGGAATCTATCAACCTCGGGATCTCATTCAAAGGTTTGATCTGATGTGAAAGGTAAAATGAACTAACTACCAGAGAAGACATTTGACTAAAGTAGTGTGCTTGACCGGGACCAGACCTTATTGTCACCCTCAGTTGCATGCAAGGATCTTGAAGCTGCTTCCCTCCCTTGGCGACTAAGTCCCAAATCTGGCAAGCCAGAACTTAGAACCTTGCTTTTGGGTACGAGGAGCTAGCGTAGCTCTCTGTCTCTATCTCCCTCTCTCGCTCTCTTTCTCTGCTGCAAACATCCAGGGCTGGGGACACAAATCTGTAAACTGAACATATCACGTGTAATAATGTCGACATTCTCTTTGCAGGTACCACTCTCGGGTTCTGAGTCAGTTTCTCGATAGCGTGCAGGGTTCATTCCTAGGACTGCAACCATGCAGGTTGAAGCCAGACTTCCATGCTTCCAGAAAGATTGCCCGTCGTGCAGCTCGGGAGGGCCAAGGTTGGAATATCCCCACTGACCAAGTATCTATACGTCAATCCATGAGCCTCTACTGGGACGGGCCGGGGGACCTTATTATACACACTCGGACCCTCCACTCTCGGCAGTAAGGTCACCTCATGCGCAGTGACAAATAAAAAGCCACGTCCAACCGGGGGACAACGGTGTCCGATGAAAAGCGCTGCTGCTGCACGAAGTACGAGCGATCCGTTTACTATGGTACCGGTAGAGTAGTTGCGCTGGGAGACGGCTCTGCAGGAAAGGTCCTGTCCGACGCGGGAGAGAGAGTGAGCCAGTGGGAGCATGTTGCTTCGATGAAGCCAACCGGTAGCCGGGAACCGGGAACCGTGATGCATCCACACTCCGATTCAATCCCATCCAAGCGATCGGGCCGAAGATGAAGATAAGCAGGAAGGTGGAATCAGTCCGAAGCCTTCGATGCGACTAAAGGTGAAGGAGGAGGAGAAACCAGGACACAAGAAGAAGGGCAAGCGAAGCCGCGCTCGGGCTATGACAGTGCCCAACATGCGAGACAGGCCAGGGATGAGTACAATTCGGGCGCATCGGACGTCGCGCATGCGGTGTAATATTCATGCGTGGGTTTCTCGCAGTCACACATTCCCATGCGCAGATCATTCCGATTGCGCCAGCGAGGCCCCCACTTCCGCAGCGGCGGGCCCGGCGTGTTGCTCTGGAGACGACAAGGCTTGGCAAAAGCGTCCAGAGCCCAGGCCTTTAAAGTCTCACCCGGTGGGTAAATGCCTTTAGTAGATATGTTCTGCCGTCAAGAGGATCCAGTGCTGCAACAACTTCAGGTGCTACGATGCGTAGGCCTTAAGCTCGGGCCTCCATGGTCTTCTTCTGTTCCCGTTCCCTACTACGTACAACTGTCAACTTTGCCCCGCTTGGTAAGGCCGCCCCCCGTGCGTCTCCATTCGCCGTTCACCCATCGAAAACGATGAAACTCCTTCAGAAGGTCGGGGTTTTCATTTATCGCATGGCCTGGCATACCTGTACACGACCGCGACAGAGATTAATGACATTGTACTACGTCGTAGATTAATATCCTCGTCGCTTTTTCATCGTACACTCCGTGGAAGTCCAACGGACGATTCGCACACATGTCTGCACATTTGAGCACTAAGAGGTTTCCTTGTGCAGCGCAGATCTTTAATCATTGACATTACTGCGGTCCGATGCCTAATGTTTCGATGGTTAGACAGATCTCCAAAACATTCCAGCACCAGCAAACCCAGCAGGCGTTTCTCCTTATTCATTTGGATGCGGATTGCGCTGAACAAATACATACAAACGGCCTAAGCTATCTCAGGGCTCTCAACCGATCTTCTTCGTAAAATGGCTGAGTAGTCACTACCAATGGTTATGGCTGTTTCGTGAGCCCGATTGTCGAGGTCTTGGGTTCCGTGTAGGTTACCAACCCCTGTATTCGGAAGCCCCCGAAAGTAGATAATTATGTACGTGAGGCACAAAGGTACAAATTAAACAAAACTATACCGCATGTTTTGCCGATATGTTTTGCCTGGAAATAAACTTTCAGGATATCGTATTCGCACAGCTTATTCTGAAAGCATGATGCCCTGCTATGTGAACTTCGGAGGTGTTTCGGTATAAAACGTGACATACTACAGCGATAGATGGTGCACCTTCGTCCCGGTCTAAGGGCTAGGATCATATTGCAAATTTAAGCTGAACTGCGAATTGAAATACTGATTACTTGTAAAAGCAATCAATTTACAATTAGTTCTCAATTTTTCTTTCCAAACTTTCTTCAGTTTAAAAAATATAGTTTCAAATATCTCTGCAAAACAATATGACACATCAGCATTTATTTTAGCAATTGCTTTCATTCATTTTAAGGATTTCTAAATATTTACTGTTCTTATTTATATTTTTATTTAATTTCTAACATCGCTGCATTCTTATATTTATATGTATTGTAATTAAAATACATTGATATGACTATCAATCTCCTATTAAAAAAAAAAAGTATAAGTATGTGGTTCAGTAGTTTGTTTTTTTATTACTTGAATTTAATTTAATTACAATTAGATTTTTTTATTAACCAATGCTTTATAAATTCTTATAGTTTTAAAAAATACAGGAATAGTTAGAAACTTTTCTACTTGTTCAGCTTACATGAAATGGTTGAGTTTAATTTTCAATGCCTTACGTTGACAAGGATTGTTACTATATATAAAAGTTAAAACATATATAAACATACAATAATATCATATTTGAGATGTGATGATAAGTGATTCATCCTTATAATGGTGTTTCAAATTCTTAAATGATTTTGAAATTTTTTGAAATAAAAATATTGGTAAATATTTTAAATATATTTTTTAAATTTTTATATTTTTTAACAAATAATTATTTTTTCAATTTTTGAATTTTTTTTAATTTAATTTGTATGTTTAATAAAAATATTAATTTAGCAAATCATATGTTTACATATGATCAATTTCAAAAAATAAAATTTTCTACGTATTCAAAATTCATCAAAATTTCAATCTTTATTATATTGTGTAATTTTTTTGAATAAAATAATTTTTAAAATAATTTTACAAGTTATAGATTTAAAGGAAATAAATTTATGATGAATTTTTATCAATCAATCAGAAATAAA